GGCGGAGGGAGGGAGCCAATGCAGCTGGCACAGCAGACCCCCCCACCCCCACTACCAGGGTCCATGGAGCCTACCACTGACCACCAGGCCAATGTAAGGTGACAATTTTTAAAACAAAATCCTGGGACATTTTATCCACGGGAACATAAAATAAACCTTTTTAAAAAAAATATTCACCTGATCCCTGGATCCACCGACAAGCGCAGCCTCCCGTCTCCCCACGTTGTTAGAAGCTGCATACAGCGTGTGCTGGTTACTACTTAAACCGGTGCGCTGTGTGCAGCTTCTGAGAAGATACGCTATTAGCGTCGCGGGAGCGATGCAAAATGAGCAGCCGGCTTCCTCGTTATGCTAATAGCGTTTAAGTAGTAACCAGCACACTCTGTATGCAGCTTTTAACAGCGTGGGAGACGGGAGGCTGCGCGTGTCGGTGGATCCAGGGATCAGGCGAGTTCACCTCCTCACGCTTGCCGCTGCCAGACCTGCCCGCTCGCATCCATGCTCCACACCTCCTTCCCGTCTCACGCGCACCGCCCACATCCACGATCGGCACAGGGACGCGGGGAGAAGAAGAAGTAAGGTGGAGCAGGCGTGACAGGATGACAGCCACCAAACAGGCCCGATCTCAGAAGCAAGTTGCTGGAAGACTGCTCAGGTAAGCCTGCACTTTCCCACACCTGGTGCTCTATAATGTATTGCTGGGATAGTGGGATTTGTAGTCCTCTATAGCTGATGGTACATTGTGCTGTATATTATACCATCAGCTATAGAGGACTACAAATCCCAGCAATACATTATTCACTGTATGTATAATGTATTGCTGGGATTTGTTGTATTCCTATATAGCTGGTGGTATTCTGCATTGCGCTGTATAGAGGACTACAAATGCCAGCAATAATACATTATACAGCGCAATGCGGAATTCCGCCAGCTATAATGTACTATTGCTGGGATTTGTAGTCCTCTATAGCTGATGGTATTCTGCATTGTGCTGTATAATGTATTATTGCTGGGATTTGAAGTCCTCTATAGTCGGTGCCATTTTGCATTGATTGCTGTATAATTTTACACTTTCCATTTCACTATATTGCACAACAACTTTCTTTTTCCTTACTTCAACCGCTCCAAGCTTGTTCCCGTGATGGACTACAATCTCAAACTAGTAGTCCATCACTGGAGCCATTTGTTTTTATCCTGATTAACCGGTTAATTAAACTTAATAATCGGTTAACTAATCGATTTTGAAAATAATTGTTAGCTGCAGCTCTAGATAAATGGTCACCCCACACCAGGGATCCCCCACTAACTACTAGGGATCCCCCACTAACCACCAGGGAGCCTCCACTGGCCACCACAGAGCTCCCAGTAACCACCAGGGAGCCCCCACTGGCCACAGTGGAGCCCCCACTACCAACCTGGGAGCTACCACAGAGCCACCACTAATTGTTAGGGAGCACCCACTGGCCACCACAGATCCCACACTGGCCAGCAGAGAGCCTGCACTGACCTCCTGACAGTCCGCATTGGCCACCTGAGAGTCTAATTAGGGAGCCACCTCTGCTGCACACACACCCACCTGTGAAACTCTCTGGACCCCTGGTGAGAGCCCGCACAGCCCACATGAGACCCTGGAGACATCGGGCAGTGAACCCAGAACAGCAGAGTATGTAGCTTCATATTATTCTGCATTGCTGTAATATGTATTGCTGGGATTTGTAGTCCTCTATAGCTGATGCTGTTCTGCATTGCTGTATAATGTTATTGCTGGGAATTGTAGTTCTCTATAGATGTTGGTAGTCATTATTGCTGGGATTTATAGTCCTCTATAGCTGATGGTATTCTGCATTGTTGTGTAATGTATTTCTGGAATTGTAGTTCTCTATAGCCAATGCCATTCTGCAATGCTGTACAATGTATTTCTGAGTTAGTGGCAGAACTACCAGTGTCGCAGCAGTCATGCACGCGCACAGCCCTGACGAGGCATCCCTCCACTACCGGTGTGCTTTACATTTCCTAAACTGATAAATACATTCACACTTCTGTTACATAGATGGCAAAAGTAGCAGACAGGGGAGGGGAGAAGGCAGGGGAAGAGGCAGAGCGGGAGGGGGGCCAAGTTGCTGCACCATGGGCCTCTGAGTTGTACTTGCCCCCTGGGCTAAAAGTTGCCAGTCAGCCCCTGCTCCTATGATTACACTTATGTATCAAACTATTTCACTGCAGCCCTCCGACAGTCTGTGAGCCTTCCCCCCCCCCTGCAGTCTACTCACCTCTCTGCGGCGTCTGCGATCATCTTCATTCCAGCAGCTGACCGCAATAGCCAGCCTGCTATTGGCTCTTTTAAATTGCAGTAGCCAATAACAGGCTGGCTATTGCACCCGCCCACTGCCAGCTGTCAAACAACAGAGGTGGACCTGATAGAAAACTTCAGGTCCCTGCTCTGCTGATTGACAGCAGGCAGTGGGTGGGTGCTGTAGCCAGCCTGTTATTGGCTATTGCAATTTGAAATATCCAAAAGCAGGCTGGCTATTGCTCACAGCAATGAAGTAAAAAAAAAGAAAAGTTTAAAAAAATAAACTAAGATTAAAAAAAAGTAAAAAAAAGTTACATTAATAAGAAGAAGTAAAAAATATGTAAAAAAATAAAGTGAAATAAATTAAAAATGTAAAAAAAGTGAAATTAATAAAAAATTAAAAAATAAAGTTAAATAAATCAAAATGTACAAAAATACAGTTTAATAAAAAAAATACAAAAAAAGTTGAAAAAAATAAAAAGGTAAAAGAAACTAAAATTAAAAATCCCCCATAAAATTAAAGGCCCCAGCCCCTGCGAGCACACGCATTAAAAAAAAATAAAAAATTTGCAGACGGTATGCAGCCTGGCACAGCCGCACAACTTAAAAAAAGTTTGCAATTTGACCATGTTACACCCTAGCAATGTGGTCCAGGCTAGTGCTAGCACAAGGATGTATAGGCATAGGCAGCCAACTAAAGGGGGGGGGGCGCAAAAATCCACCTTTGACTGTGTAGGCAAAAATCCTTCCACTGGCCCTGAGTGGCGGATCCAGGGGGGGACTGACCTGGCTAAATGAACCCCCGACCGCAGGTGCAGTGGCTCCCTCCCTCCCTCCGCCACCTGCACCGCTACAGATGCGGCTCTGTAATCGGATGCTCGCTCCTCGAGGGGGTCCTCAAGAGGCCCCAGCGGGCTGCCCTCTAGCATGCCTGACAGCCAGCGGAGGTCTACAGTGGGCGAGAGTGCCTATGTACCAGACATAGAACGGAGTAAGGCCAGAACTATGTAGGGAGCCCAGTGGGAGGAGAGCACCATCCCCCAGCCTGTCAACCCTTTCATCGACTTACTAGGAGTCCTCACATCACCCGACCATACACACTACTGTTACATGGATGGCAAAAGTGGCAGGCAGGGGTGGGGAGAAGGCGGGGGAAGAGGCAGAGCGGGAGGGGTGCCAAGTAGCTGCACCATGGGCCTCTGGGTTGTACTTGCCCCCTGGGCTAAAAGTTGCCAGTCAGCCCCTGCTGTATTCTGCACCTCCTGGGCGCTGAGAGCTGATTTAATTGCGGAAGGCGGTGGCGGTATTCAGGATTGTGGGCGGCGTTGGACTACATGTCGGAACCGCAGGGTGCAGATGCCATGCGCAATTAAATCAGCTCTCGGCGCCCTGCGGTTGCGACATGCAATAAAAATTATTAGTGCCCCCCCAGATTTGACTGTGGTATCTTATGTGCCCCCCCTATATATTGTTCCTAGAGTCGCCACTGGATACACAAGATTTTTTAGCCAGCTTAGCTATTCAACAGAGAGAAGATCAGCAGGCTAAAAGTTGCCAGTCAGCCCCTGCTTATAGTACAATGTTACAGAGAATGGTGCTGCTGTCATAATGCAAGTGCCATTCTCTGCAGTATTGAGGACTGCCCACCACTGCCTCTGAAGGAGAAGAAGGACCCTGGGTCATCTTGTGACTACCAGAAAGCACAGAGAAACAAGTTATGCATATTAAAACATTTGCCTACTCTTGGGAAACACTTGACCAGTGGCGTAAAAATAGCCATAGCGACCGAGGCGGCCGCTATGGGGCCCGGCCAGGACACCCCCCTGATGCCGTGCGGGCCGCCTGGGTCGCTATGGGTTCGAACGCACCGCTGTTCAGATCACCGTTAACTGTGCAGCACTGCGTTCTTCTCCATTGCCGCTGCTGAGTCAATGAGAGTCAGCAGCGGCGGTGGAGGAGGCTGGACTTGGCGGGGAGGAGGAGGCGGGGCCCGGGGGGGCAGCATCAGAGAAGGAGGCGGGGCCGGTTCACTGCCAGACCCGCCCGCATCCACACGCCGCACCTCCTCACGCTTGCCGCTGCCAGACCTGCCCGCTCGCATCCATGCTCCACACCTCCTTCCCGTTTTTTGCTATGGGGCCCTGTGATTTCTAGTTACGCCCCTGCACTTGACATACCTGCTTTAACTACTGGCATTTATAAAGAATACCTTTGCAAATGTAGCATGACACAATATTTTTAAATGTATATATTTAATAAAACATACCTCCGTTCCATAGATAAATAAATAATGCAATTACTTCTTAAAGCATGAGTAATCCGGTAAAGGGTTTTAAAGAGTGCATCTGTAAGGTCATCATCGTAAAACACTGAAAGATACAATTAAAAGTATTTACTTTGAAGCTGTGTGATTAAAGCGACACTCAAATCACCTCTGAATTAACGCTGACATTGTCCTTCCTGCAGGAGAGTAACTATTTTTGTTCCCCATGATCTCTGTGTGTGTTGTAAAACTCTCTCCCATGATGGACTCCAATCTCACGTTTAGTTTACTAATTTGTATTGAGAAGGTAGTCCATCACGGGAGTGAAATAGAGCAGTGGCTACTTTATAACACGCACAGGGACCATGGGGAACAAAAGTAGCCAACTTCCAATAGAAAGGACAGTGTCAGCACCAATTCAGAGATGATTTGAGTCTGAGTGATACACAAATAAGATACATTTTTGTTAATAGTGAAGGTACTTGAATGCATTTTTAAGATTTAACTCCTGAGTTTAGTCTCTCTTTAAATGTTCTTAAAACGTTCTCTGTTAAAATTCACACTTTGCATTAATCAGCAGAATCATAGCAGCATTATCAAATCCCATTGTTATTTTGAGTAAAACATACCTCTTTTTTGTCATTTGGCTATGGTGGTTAAAGAAATGTCAGCATCTGACACTTGTGGGAGTGTAGTATGTTTGGTCCTGCTCTACATTCTCTGGCTCTTATGTCACTATAGAACACAGATGGGACCACAGTACACAGCGGGGGACCAGGCATCCAACATATCTGGAAGTTTGTTTGATACACACAGTGGCGTCGCTACAGGGGGGGCAATTGCCCCCCCCACAAGTTATCACTTGCCCCCCCGTGTGCCCCTCTCCCCGCTAACAGTGGCGGCAGTCCCGGCGCTAGCGCAAGGCAAGAGAAATGTAATCCCTGTCCTGTTGCCAGTCAGCCCCTGCTGTATTCTGCACCTCCTGGGCGCTGAGAGCTGATTTAATTACGGATGGCGTCGGCGGTTGCGGTATTCAGGATAGTGGGCGGCGTTGGACTACATGTCAGAACCGCAGGGCGCAGGTGCCATGCACAATTAAATCAGCTCTCGGCGCCCTGCGGTTGCGACATGCAATAAAAATTATTAGTGCCACCCCAGATTTGACTGTGGTATCTTATGTGCCCCCCCTATATATTGTTCCTAGAGTCGCCACTGGATACACAAGATTTTTTAGCCAGCTTAGCTCTTCAACAGAGAGAAGATCAGCGGCTCGACAGCATGACATGTAAGTAATAACACTTTTCTTTACCGACAGCAAATTTTAAAACTTTTAACTTCAAGTTAAAGAGTCGCTTTAAAGAACAACATAAAGACGTTCAGTATAATCATACAGCACATAATTTTGGTACCTGTATAAATGACACACACAACCAGGTAAATACCTTTAGCAACTTTCATTGCCATGGATTAGTAGCCAAGCATCTTTCTAGTAAATGAGTAAATACAGACCCACAGCACAGTATATGTGCGAGAAGTAAAGGAAAGGTGACATTGCTTTTATAAAATGTATTTGTTATTCCAAAAGGGTAGTATCTAAAATTGTAATATATGCATTTTAAATATAACACTTGCTTATTGGATTGGTTCTTTAGGACTTTGCACATTATGTTCATGTTTTGCAATTATGAAACAATATAGGACACATAAAGTAACAGTGCTGATTTACAAAGATAAACAATAAGCGGTCAGAGGATTGGGGTAAGGATAGAAAGGTAGTAAACATAATTCTAAGATAAATGAAAGTATTTGTCCACACAGCACTATATAGGCCATAGTAAGACAGCACATAGTAAGGGTTAACTCTAATAGTATTTACTTTTTTTTAATATACCTTTTTAATGTTTAGTCTGAGGACGTGTAACCAAAGAGCCTCCTTGCATCCTTCTTACCCATTGTGAGAGGCATGTCAGAATAGCAAGTGGGCAAGCATATAATGATGTCACACAGAGCAGGGAAGTATGTTGTTATCAGCTGCTGTGAAATTCCTGCTAGGAGCCTCTGCCAATCAGCACAGCAGGGCTGGAAGAAGAGCTTGGCAACAGGAGGTGTGTCAGCATAGTAAGTAGGTGGGCAGGTGATGATGTAACACACAGCAGGAACGTATGTTCTCTGTCTGTGTGAGCTGTGTTCCAGCAGCTGCTGTGTTAATTGTGAGGTCCCTGCTAGGAGCCTCTGTCAATCAACATAGCAGGAATGGGGGAGGAGAAGCAAGGAGAAAATAAATCTACACTGGCCACATCAGCAAGTATCTGCTTCTTGCTTGGCATGGTCAGAATGGAACAGGAGAGAGGGGGGAACTAGCAGGATCACCAGGTATTTCTGAGGAAATAAAATACTCGCTACATTTATCCACATCATAATAAAACCGATACATATATTAAGGCCCCATTCACACCATGGGATTTCGTTGCCTGTATCTGTGCGCGCTGAAACACACAAGATATTCCCATGTATTTCTATAGCCCCCGTTTACACTTGAGTGTAGTGCGGCACAAAGAAAAATACCTGTTGCTGGAAGTAGTACACAAGTTTCTTTTTGGTAGATTACAGTGTGTTTTGTCCCAACAGAAACGAGCAAAGCACAACCCCCCTCCAAGCTCATCCATTCACAGATCCTTAGAAAGAGTTCATCAGCCACCATGGAAAAGGCACTTGTAGTTCTTCATTCATACTTTCTCCCCTCTCTGTACATGAAAGTCCTTACCTCAGTATGTAATTGATAATACAAAATCACCTGCACTCCATACAGCGTACAGACCTTGGATGAAAGGTTGGTGCTTGAAGTGACAACTCGGATGGCGGCATGTCAGATACAGCCCATAATAGAAGTCACCAGCACTCGATAATATGTGCAAGAAGTAAAGTACTTTTTATTAAATTGTCACATGTGTCATACAGCCAACGTTTTGGGGCCACTTAGGGTCCCTTCTTCTGGGCGACATAGTGGCATAGGTCACTATGTCGCCCAGAAGAAGGGACCCTACGTGGCCCCAAAACGTTGGCTGTATGACACATGAGAATATGTGTAAGAAGTAAAGCACTTTTTTATTAAATTGTCACAAGTGCTGGTGACTTCTATTATGGCCCATACCTCAGTATGGACATGGACTGTCATGGTTGTAATGCTTTACTGGCTCCAATGCAAACAAATAATCAATGCACATGTTTTTCCGTTTATGAATATGTGTACATTTTTAATATTATTTGGGCTAAGGTTGACTTTGGCTTTAAGTATTACAAACTCTGTTCATATAGATATAACAGTCACTTACAACATCACAGACAAAAAAAACACAAATACACTTAATTATAACTACAAAACTTTACCATCAGCAGCGATAATTACTGTTGTGTGGTCGTAAAATTGAGCTATGTCATCTTCTGTCCAGCTGTATGGGTTTTCTGGATCTGAAAAGAGATACAATGTCTATGAATCTATGAAATCATCTAAATCAGGGGTGGCAAACTCAAATTCATCGGGGGCCACATCAGCAGTATGGTTACCCTCAAAGGGCCGGTTGTATGGGACTATGCATCTACTCTTTATTATCATAAATAGTTGCCTCTGCATTCAGTTGCTACTGGTTTTAATAATAATTTAAGTAATAACTAGCCTTGAAAACAGAAGCCTAGGAAGAATAACAGCAAGCAGATATTCAAATGTACAATTATTGTACAATTTATTAAAACATTTTTTTAGGAACAGTAATTTTTTAAACATACAAATATTGCCAGGCACTGTTTATTACACATATGGCAAACACAAGGCATTAACTTTCTTTAACTTTTCTGACTGGATGTCTGACACTTTGCTTTTTTTTTTTACGATAAACTTTAAAATAGCAGCACACAGTTTATTAAGAAGAGGCACAGAACGCAGCCCGCTGGATGGGGGAAAAAAACTGCCCAAAAAACTGCCAGCAATCTCTGCCACTATGAACATTCAGTGGCATGCAAAAAAGCCGGCATCGCTGGCTGGAAGGACTGGGGAGGCGGGGTGGAGGCGGGGGCGGGCACCAGAGCGGCATTGTAAGCCGTCATGGCTGCAGAAAGAGAGGAGGCGGCGGTGGAGGCGGAGACAGGGCGGAGGCGGAGCGGCACAGTAAGGGGAATATGTAATGCCTGCTCAGACTGGCCGCGCCGCTCACTTGCTGAAATCCCAACCTGGCAAAATGAGGTGGCTGCTGTGCGGGCCACATTACAAGGTCCGGCGGGCCGGATTCGGCCCGCGGGCCTTGTGTTTGCCACCCCTGATCTAAATCAACTGCCATTCATATTCCAGAGAAGCCATGTCTCAACAAGATCCATGTGTAAGCGATAACTATATTCCTTGTATAAGTAACCCTTACACATTAACTCAGTGGGTCCTTAGAAGGTATTAAGAAAATGAATGATATACTCTCCATTCAAATGTGATCTAGCCACATAATAAGCATACTTTAGTAAGCAACAGTAAGCTGGTATAAAGGAATAGTATCACTCCAGGATTGGTAGCAATGCTGAAATAAATGTAGCAGCAATTGTAATAGAGCACAGTCAGCTTAACAATTCAGTGTCAATATGTATGAAAATGTTTTAAAATAAGTGATCATAAATGATGGTATTACATATTACAAAGAGCAGCCACCACACTTAAAGCATATAAAAATCAAGAATAAGAAATTAAATATTCTCATATATCTTTCCCATATTTTAATATTAATTTCCCATTAAAAACACCATCTCCAAAAGACAAATACTGATATTGTCTAAAAAATAAAGAAATGATATTCAAATATTTATCAGCATGCTTTTATATATTCATACATTTAAGAATTATAAAAAGATTCCCCATAAATGCTTAAGTGGAGGTAGATACTGTAGAAGTAAAGGAATACAACTCCTAAGGGCCTGTTCACATGATTTTCAGGTCTCACGTCCGGATCTGCAGACGCGGTGCTACTCATGCAGTGCGTTTTTGATGCATTTTTGGTCCGGATGCTGACAGTTCTTTTTTCTTCAAGCCGTGGGGCTGTCAGGATGCAGATTCTTCCTCTGAGGTCACTTCCGCCCTCTCGTAACATCTACTTCCCTTTGTGTATGTAAAGCTGGTGATTAGACATGTATCACATGTTTGCAGGCATGGTGTTGGTGCTGGCTACAGCAATCTGCAGAGAACGAGCTCACAGGTGACGTCGTTATTGGGTACGCCCGATCTTGAGGCTCCGGGACTCCAAGGGTCAGTTCTGCAGTTTATATGAGGATTTGCGAGTTCACCCGGATACATTTTTTCCTTTACTCGTATGTCCATGGAAAGGTAATGGGCCTGTTCAAAATGTTTGCAGTTCATGTCTTTACCTCTACCTCAACCTGTCTGTCTATCTTTTTTTTTGCTTAGCTGCATTGCGTTCCGTTTTTGTTGCGTTTGTGCGTTTCCTGACCGGACAAAATGTGACATGCAGTATTTTTTCTGTCGTAACCTGAATGGACTGCGCATGTGAGAACTGTAGCCCATAAAACACATAGGGATACATTGGGATGCATATTTAGTGCAGGAGCGTACGGATCAGGTCAGCACAGAAAACGGACGTCGTGTGAACAGGCCCTAAATCGGGCTATGGAGCTCCATACATTACACTTGAGGAATGGAAACTCTTATATATACTGTTGTCACCTTGGTGTTTTATATTACAAGAAGTGTATTATACTATATTATGGTTAACAAGAGCGCAAACTGAAAAATTATTCCAATTACACACATTAACACTTCATAAGTATAAAAAATTGTAATCATTTGCTCTACATTAACTGTATAACTGAATTACCTTCTTATTAAAGTCTGTAATGCTGAGTAATAACAGAACTATGTAGCCAGCTTCCAAGGGATTGAGAACATTTTTCTATTATGAGTACTCCTACAGGGAAGCTGTGAAAAATTGTTAACTAGAGAAAAATTATTGTTAAACTGTTTTTTGCATACTCATTATTCCAGTTACCAATAATGAGATCCAGAGTTCTACAAATATAGAGTTCACTAAACTACCCTACAATACACTAAATGAAGTAATGTGTTTTGTTTGCAGACATTATGTCAAAGATTATTTCTAATTTAAAAGAAAATTATTACTAATGGTGATCAAATTGATCTGCCCACACTGCCCACAGAGGATCATAAGGATAGTGAGAGGCATCTGTAAGGCTTATAAGATTTGTTGCACAACCTTTAGAGGCAATCACTGCAAACAAGTGATTTCTGTAGTTCTCAATGAGACTTCTGTACCTGCCAACTGGTTGCTTGGTCCCCTGTACTTAAAGGAGGATTATGGGGTGAGCGAAAAGCACTCATCCCCATAATTCAAGCCGACCTGTAACACTGAAGCTGTCACAGGTCGGATCTATTGATTGGGAAGTCAGCTGACACATTCCAGTGCTCGCTGACTTCTTGATCCTCTCCCTGCAGAGATTGGTGACTGTCAGTCACCAATCCCTGCAGGGATTCCCCCCTCCCCTCTCTGTTTCTTCAGTGATGACAGGAAAAACAGATGGGGAAGGGGGCTGCCTCTAGAGAACCAGAGCCAGCTTTCAATCAGCCAGCGGGATGGATCTCGACAGAACTCTCAACATTTAGCGGGCAATAACCTGCTATGTACTGAGTTTTTGGGTCACTGGAGGACATTATTATATAAAGCATATAAAAATCAAGAATAAGAAATTAAATATTCTCATATATCTTTCCCATATTTTAATATTAATTTCCCATTAAAAACACCATCTCCAAAAGACAAATACTGATATTGTCTAAAAAATAAAGAAATGATATTCAAATATTTATCAGCATGCTTTTATATATTCATACATTTAAGAATTATAAAAAGATTCCCCATAAATGCTTAAGTGGAGGTAGATACTGTAGAAGTAAAGGAATACAACTCCTAAGGGCCTGTTCACATGATTTTCAGGTCTCACGTCCGGATCTGCAGACGCGGTGCTACTCATGCAGTGCGTTTTTGATGCATTTTTGGTCCGGATGCTGACAGTTCTTTTTTCTTCAAGCCGTGGGGCTGTCAGTATGCAGATTCTTCATCTGAGGTCACTTCCGCCCTCTCGTAACATCTACTTCCCTTTGTGTATGTAAAGCTGGTGATTAGACATGTATCACATGTTTGCAGGCATGGTGTTGGTGCTGGCTACAGCAATCTGCAGAGAACGAGCTCACAGGTGACGTCGTTATTGGGTACGCCCGATCTTGAGGCTCCGGGACTCCAAGGGTCAGTTCTGCAGTTTATATGAGGATTTGCGAGTTCACCCGGATACATTTTTTCCTTTACTCGTATGTCCATGGAAAGGTAATGGGCCTGTTCAAAATGTTTGCAGTTCATGTCTTTACCTCTACCTCAACCTGTCTGTCTATCTTTTTTTTTGCTTAGCTGCATTGCGTTCCGTTTTTGTTGCGTTTGTGCGTTTCCTGACCGGACAAAATGTGACATGCAGTATTTTTTCTGTCGTAACCTGAATGGACTGCGCATGTGAGAACTGTAGCCCATAAAACACATAGGGATACATTGGGATGCATATTTAGTGCAGGAGCGTACGGATCAGGTCAGCACAGAAAACGGACGTCGTGTGAACAGGCCCTAAATCGGGCTATGGAGCTCCATACATTACACTTGAGGAATGGAAACTCTTATATATACTGTTGTCACCTTGGTGTTTTATATTACAAGAAGTGTATTATACTATATTATGGTTAACAAGAGCGCAAACTGAAAAATTATTCCAATTACACACATTAACACTTCATAAGTATAAAAAATTGTAATCATTTGCTCTACATTAACTGTATAACTGAATTACCTTCTTATTAAAGTCTGTAATGCTGAGTAATAACAGAACTATGTAGCCAGCTTCCAAGGGATTGAGAACATTTTTCTATTATGAGTACTCCTACAGGGAAGCTGTGAAAAATTGTTAACTAGAGAAAAATTATTGTTAAACTGTTTTTTGCATACTCATTATTCCAGTTACCAATAATGAGATCCAGAGTTCTACAAATATAGAGTTCACTAAACTACCCTACAATACACTAAATGAAGTAATGTGTTTTGTTTGCAGACATTATGTCAAAGATTATTTCTAATTTAAAAGAAAATTATTACTAATGGTGATCAAATTGATCTGCCCACACTGCCCACAGAGGATCATAAGGATAGTGAGAGGCATCTGTAAGGCTTATAAGATTTGTTGCACAACCTTTAGAGGCAATCACTGCAAACAAGTGATTTCTGTAGTTCTCAATGAGACTTCTGTACCTGCCAACTGGTTGCTTGGTCCCCTGTACTTAAAGGAGGATTATGGGGTGAGCGAAAAGCACTCATCCCCATAATTCAAGCCGACCTGTAACACTGAAGCTGTCACAGGTCGGATCTATT